CCTGAGGAAAGTCTGGACTGTCTTCAGTGTTCAGCTCAGATTCAGCTGTGGTCAGAGGAGATGTGATGAGAATCTTCAGCAGACTCACAGTCTCTGAAGGTGTCCTGCAGATTGTTCTCCATGAAGAGCAGCTGGGACAGAGCCACAGCACCACTGCAGCTCCTGATCCCATAAAAGCCTGTTCAATGTTTAGCTTGGTCCTGTTCAGCACTGCAGCCTCCATGGTGGTGAACTGGAGACCTGCAGGAACGACTGCCTGCAGTCCTGATCACTCCAAAGTTGTGTTCCAGTGGCTGGTGGGAGATGCAATGAAGGGTTCAGTGTCTTGTCCAGGGGCATTATGACTTGTGACTGAATGGTGGAATCGAATCACTAACCACTCAGCCACTGCTGCGCAGTAGTTTACATTAGCCAACAAAAATGTCTACAACTCAATAATTTACAGACTTTGAGCTAAAATATGCTGACTCGTCACTACACATCCTCTGAGTACTAACAGACAATGTATTTGTTGTAAACTTCAGCATGAAATCTTTTAACCATTCAAAGCACTTGCTGTTTTTATGGTCAGATCACCTTTAAGTCTGTGTGTGTGTAGTTGTGTGTGTGTGTTTATCATTGCTTTTGTTCTGTTGGTCAGATATAGGCCAGAACCAGTTGGCCATCCCAATCACTCTGAATGATGTCCCTCCATTCATCTCTGAGATGCTGAGTGACGAGGAGTGCTGGGACTTCAACATCTTGGAGTTGGAGGCAGCGACACACAGAAGGTACCAAAACCGTTTCAATGAGCTGAAGTTTCTTATAGTTCTAACCAGGAGTGGAAGTAAGCAGGTACAGTCCGGTACTGCATACCACCTGATAGATTCTGTGCCAGTAAGCAGTACCAAGAAGAGGGTAGAGCAGCTGTCTGCTATAAAGCCGGGTTCCCACCAAACGCGTTTTGAGCAGCCGAAGCAGCCAGTTTACATGTAAACTCTATGATAGATGCACATCTAGGAGCAGCGCAGTGTGTTGCGGTGCGTTTTGCCAGTTGAGAGCAGCGCGCAACGTAGCGGTAGGATGTGGCACATCCAAAGCAGCTGCTGCTGGAGTTCAACAAAATGAACTTTGGTTGCTCGTCGCGGAGCAGCAACCAATCGGGAGAGAATAATTTTTCTTGAACCCGACACAGACGGACAGGAGCCTTTTTAGCTGAAATCGACCGTCTGCAGTTGGTGTTTTGGCTGGAGATATCAGCACCGATGTGATGAGACAGCAGCAGCTCGCTGAGCTCAGGACAAAAAAATAATCCGACAGCTCGAAGCTCCTGGAGTAACTGAACAAACCGCCTGAATTATCTGGTGAATTAATTATCTGGTGAATTAATTATCTGGTGAATTAATTATCTGGGGAATTAATTATCTGGTGTGCGCAACGTTCACTTGCTCTTTAGTAAATAAAGCAAAACCATTTTCTTTATTTTATCTTTATTTCAACCGTCATTAAAGACAGACCGGATCAAAACTAAGACGCTCCTCCCTCTACACACCTCTAGTCTGGTCCCGGTCTGGAAAAAAAAAAGCTCACAGGTTAGAGCGCCTCTTATCTGGTGAATTAATTATCTGCTGTGTGCAACGTTCACTTGCTCTTTTGTAAATAAAACAAAGCCATTTTCTTCATCTTATCTTTATTTCAACCGTAAACAGACCAGAAAACGAACAAAGACGCTCCTCCCATTACACGTCTTCAGACGCGTTCGGTCTGAACAGACATCTGTTGACAAGCAGCCAAAAACTGACATCAGGAGCGTTTTTGCTGCTCAAGACACGTTTGGTTGGAACCTGGCATCAAGCTGTCTGTAAGAAGCAGTCGCAGCTGCACTTTGTATCAGAATAGATTCATTTGTCCTTTAAAAATGTGCTTAAACCAGGGGCCATTCTAGAATCTGACCTTTAGGGGTCTTTAACTGCTATATCTACATTTTTCACCTGAACATTATATGGTAGTGGGCCTATTTCAAAAAAGAACATACACCTATCTATGGAAAAGTAGACATCATGGGTCATAGTTTTGTTGTTTCAGTTCACAATTCATGAGGTGGGCCTTTCATAGTTACAAATCACCTTTCTATTCACAGGCAAAGAAACACAGCCTAATATAAATATACAGCGGGTAAAATAAGTATTGAACACATCACCATTTTTCTCAGTAAATATATTACTAGAGGTGCTAATGACATGAAATTTTCACCAGATGTTGGTAACAACCCAAGTGATCCATACATACAAAGAAATCAAACCATAAATGTCCAGAAATGAAGTTATTTTTAATAACGTGGAATGGTACAGGAAGAAAGTATTGTAAAAAAGGCATGGAA